CTTCCATTACTAAGCCTTCGGGCCTAAATTCCATGCTTTCCTCCGTGTGTACACGCATACCTTCCAGTACCACAGACACCCAACTGTCTACTCACACTCCTACGTATTCACCCGCACACACATGTGTGTGTATGTTCCTATACCTTCCTATTCGTAGCTGAAGCCGAGGTTGCCGTCTGTGTTCTTCAGCGAGCAGCCGTCTTCAACACAGACCTATGCGCGACTGTTTATTCTGCAAAAGTGTCTGGATGTGATCTGTGGCATTTTGTCGCTCAATCAAAGCCAAGCAACACTAGTCAACACGTTCATTATACTGAGAGAGATGTGCGCGGAGGTGAGTGGGCGTGAATGGGTCCCAACGGCTGTCTGTAGATAGACCACTGAGTACGAAATAGCACTTTGTATTGTGTAGTGGTTGCCTCTGTATTGAAGGCTATGTGTGTATATGTATATGTATATATATATATATGTGTGTGTGTGTGTATGTGTGTGTGTATGTGTGTGTGTATGTGTGTGTATGTGTGTGTGTGTGTGTATGTGTGTGTGTGTGTGTATGTGTGTGTGTGTATGTGTATATATATGAATACAATAACAATAACAACAACAATAACAGTACCAATAGCAACAAAACAGAAACTACACATATTCTCCGGCATAGTCCTTCGTTGTTGTTGTTTGGTGGGGGCCATCATATACAACAAACCTTTCTAGACCTGCGCTTATTCATACCATTTTATTACGACCTACGCTCATTCGTACCGTTTCCTTTCGACCTACGCTTATCCGTACTGTTTTATTACGACCTACGTCCATTCATCCCGTTTTATTTCGACCTACACTTATTCGTACCGTTTTCTTTTGACCAAACTCTAAAACCTACGCTTAAATTGTTTTAATCCATTCTCATTGGCTCGCATTTAAAATTTATCAGTATCCCCACAAACTGTTCGATGAATCTGCAGAGAAATATGCGGTGGTGACTATTGTTTTCGTCCATTATCATTGGCTCCCATTTAAAATTTATTAGTACCCCCACAAGCTGTCCGATGTAGCTGCAGAGAGCTGTGCGGTGGTGACTATTGTTTTCAACCATTCTCATTGGCGCCCATTTAAAATTTATCAGTACCCCCACATGCTGTTCGATGAATCTGCGGAGAACTGTGCGGTGGTGACGAGTCTTGTCCTGAACCACAGCTTCTCTGCGTTCCCATTGGTCAGACGAGAGGCAGCGGCAACCATCTATTGGTTAGCCAAAGTGAACTACAAAAATAATAGTACGTGTGTGTGTGTTATATCTAACTACAAGAACAATAATATCTGTGTTTCAAAACCAATAGTATATGATGTTAAGGTCATCTACAAGTACAACAGTATAGACGAGGCTTAACCTCCTAAACAACGGCCGTATACCTATTAGTATAAGTGAGCTATAGCTTTATTCAGGTGTGTGTGTGTGTATTAGTGTATAATATATATATATATATATATGTGTGTGTGTGTGTGTGTGTGTATGCTCTCGTGCAGCACGTATGTCATGCGTAAGTGTAGGTGACTACCAATCATATGAATGTTCCTTGCAATCTCACTGTATGTTCTAATGACGGTATCCAGAGGTGGAAAAGTCCCCGAGAAAACAGTCATCTGTCTTCATACACGCCCGCCTACACAAATGTATATGCCAGATTTGTATTATATATTTATATATATATATTATATGTTTTAGGATATATGTATGTATATGTATATGTAAATGTATGTATGTATGTATGTATATATGTATAT